CCAACACTAAGCCGAAGCCCAAGGCGAAATCCCAGCCCAAGTCCAAGGCCAAATCCCAGCCGAAGTCCAAGGCAGGCAGCAAGCCGAAGTACGATGTCACTAAGTTGAGCCAGAGCCAACGGTTGAAGCTTCGTCCTAACGGATGCAGCAAGTGCAGGTGGCGACCCGGATGCTGTGATTCCTGCTGGAAGTAGGTGGCAAGCATGTCCGGGCTTATAAATGGATTCAAGACTTTCGGCTTCAAAGCGAATTGCTGCTGTCGGATCACGTTGATTGGAAGCTGTGTGCAAAATTATCGACATGCATGTGCCATGCACATGCACGCCATTCTGTGCCAGCATGCCTGCCTGCAGCACCGGAATCCTGAGCCGAGCCGTGCATCATGGTGGCAAGCATGTTGTCGTGCTTAAGTTTTCCCCGGCTCAGACATCATGTTCACTCACATGAATCATGATTGCATGCGTGCATGCACGACATACACCGTCGCAGGATTGAGAACGATTGCAAGGACTTTGTATTAAAGATTTCGCACAGCAGGGCCTTGTGCTCGCGTGCAGGTCATGCACCTGTGCATGTGTGCATGACTTCTTCAAGCAAACCAGCCACACGTGCCTTGGCCGGGTTGGGTCGGGCCACATATGTGTCCCAGCGTGGGGTGGAGCACGTGCTGCAGGAGTTGCATGCGGCTGGGCTTTTGGATGCTGCAGTGGCGACCTCTCGCAGCTCTGTGAAAAGAGCCCGTGATGATGAGTCAGGATCTTGGTCCAATTCGTATGGGCATATGATTCAGCAAGTCGAAGTGCCTTTGGAGGGCAACCCCAGCAAAACCTGCAGTGTACCATTCATACCTCCATCGGTTCTTCTAGCCCACTGTGCACAACAAGAGCCGTTCGCTTCTTTTTTGAAGGAGAGACTGCAGTCCCAGCCATGTTCACACTCACGGCCGTGGAGTATTATAACTTACAACGACGAAATAACGCCCGGCAACACCTTGAAGGTGGTCAACCTTCGCCGGACACAGGCCATATACTGGTCGGTGTTGGAGTGGGGGCATAGATCTCTTTCCAGCGAATCCATGTGGTTTCCACTCACAGCCTTGAGGAGCAACGTGTGCCAGAAGCTTGGAGGATTAACGGTGCTCCTGAAATACATGCTCAGGACCTTTGTGCAGCCGCACGATTTTCGAGCTGGCATTCATGTTCGCCCGTGCGACCAGCCGCACATTGTCTTTGGCAGGCTGGCTGTCTTGGTTGCAGACGAGTCAGCTCTAAAACATTCCATGGAGAACAAAGGAGCGTCTGGCAGCCTGTTTTGCGTTCGTTGCACTAATATCATCGGCCACAAGAATGCTGTGGCCGAGTTTTCCAACGACTTCGTCCTCTCCACATGTGTTGATAGTGCACAGTTCCGATTACATACCAATGCCAGCACCCGGCAGCTGTTGGAGTACCTTCGAGATGCTGAGCAGAGCATGAGCTGTGCTGCTTTCGCCAAGCTGCAGACAGCAGTGGGATTCAACTTCAAATCTTCCGGACTTCTCATGGACGACATGATTGGATACGACATCCCGGAAACAGTCATGTATGACTGGTTTCACATTTATTTAGTACACGGAATTTGTAACATCGAATGCGGCCTCGTCCTCGGCAGTCTCAGGGATGCTGGGTTTCCGGAAAGTGACATCACAGAGTTCTTGCAGAGTTTCAATTGGCCTGCTCAAACGGCTGGGTCGTCCCCGAAGAACATTCTTCAAGCCGCCAGAGAAAAGAAAACTTCACCGTTAAAGTCCTCGGCATCAGAGCTTTTGAACTTCGTGCCACTGCTCCGCCTGTTTGTTTTATTGTTTGTATGTGGACGTGTGGACTCCGCCACAGAGTGCAAAGTTCATTCCTTCCTGTTGCTGGTCCAAGTGCTGGATTTGCTGCAGATCGTGGCGAAAGGCGGCAGCACCACGGCAGCAGAGTTGGGAGAAGCGATTCGAAAGCATTTAGAATGCCACTTGAAAGCCNNAGGAAACACAAACTCATAAAACGTTTTGCTTCCCAGAAGCAGGATACTACAAAGAAATACGAAGAATCCCTGCTGCAAGACATCATGGCGGTACAGCTTCAAGCGCTGAAGCAGGACATGCCATCCACTGAAGTTCGCCTGCTGCACAAAGCGAAGGCAACTAAGAAGCTGCATGAGCTGATGCATGAGACCTTGCAGTGCGGTGGTGGTGAGTGTTTTCACGCACTTCGTGCAGTGCATGGTGGCGGTTTCGAGTGCAGCAGGGGCGATGTCGTCGAATTTTCATGCATGGGCACCAGCTCTTTCGGCCGCATCCAGTTCCATGCCGAGATGATGGATCGGCCCATGACCTGCATCGTCCCATGGAGTCATGTGCATGACTGGGCATACACGGTGACGGAGAGTGCTCAGCCTGTCCTTGTGGACACGGGTGCAATCAAGGGATGCTGCTTGTGGAGCCAGAAAGACACCAGTGCATTGGTCATTCGGGCATAAAAAAACAGAGTGCGAAACATGTCATGACACATTCGTCGTGAGCCTGCTTGCGAGCAATGTGCCCTGCAAGCGACTATTTGTCGTTCTTGTGTCTGTGCATTCTGTCGTGACCCCCTCGCAGGTGCCAATGCCATCGACGGCGGATGCACGCAACTGCTGCACTGTTCATGGGTATATCAGCATTTGGGTGAATGGATTTTTGGCATATCAGCCCTCACTATTGTGCAATCGACGTACACATCTATCTCATTTTTGGGATGTTATAACTTGGCTATCGGACTTATATAATCTCTGTAAACGACTTGTTTAATCTCTACAATCTACTTACACAAGTCCTGCAAGTGCATTTATACAAGCCTTGTAACTCAACTTAAATAAGTGGCACAATCCCCGATGCAAGTTATATAACCAGGACAAGTACTTACTAACCGACGCGAACCTTCAAG